TTTTCGAACTATACAGATGTGAAGTATGGATTTGTTTCTATGGCTAATGAAAATGTGTGAAGTTGCTGATATTGGTAATATTTGCTTGAGATTTGATTCTGGTTATGTGTTAACTCTGAAGAATGTGAGGCATGTGTTGGGTTCGCCTGTATTGTGTGGGTTATACGCAGCGGAAAAATATATTTCAAAAACAAGTATTTATCATATAAACACTCAACCCATATGTATATATAGCGAATGCACAAATCGTCATCATTTAAAAACATGTAATAATACAAATTTTGATTTGTTATAATTAAATTCAAAATTTACCTTTGATCTTGAACTCCTTCAAAAACGACGATGTATGAGGAAATCAATTCCCGGTTTGGTAACGATCACTTCTTGTGGTTGCTCACTTTAGGAATTTAAATGTCTTCCCTCTAATCGTATCCACCTTTTGAACTTTCGACTGTAGTTTCTTCGCTATTAGAAACTACTCGTTTTTCAATAAGTATGGAATATATATATATAAGGAAATTTTTACAAGAACTCTTTCTTGTTTTATCACTCAACTCTTTGAATGTTTTTCTCTTGGAAGAACTTAGATAAAAACTTAGCAAAATGAACATCAAACATGTCCATATTTATATTAAACATTTTAGGATAAAATATTAATATTGGTTAGAATATTTTTCATAAAATATGAAAGTCTTCAAGAATATTTTTCATAAAATATTAATTCTTGAAGAAGACTATTCCTACCCAATATTGTATTAATAAAAATAAGATTAATTATGTGGATTGGTTAACAACTCCAAACCACCAATTAATTTATTCTTATTAATATTTAATCTTAAATCATATTAAAGACAAAATAATAAAATAACAATTCTTGAAAACATTTTTTAAGACTTTATTATTTTAATCTATTCTTCAGTTTCCTTATTTAATAATCTTATTATTATTTGAATTTGAAATTTAAAATCCAATTTTAAATTTCAACTATTAATTAGTAATTCCATTAATTACTAAATGGCTTAATTGCAAAAAAAATCATGAGCTTTTCGTAATTTGCAGT